AATGGAGAAATGAAGGGAAAATGTCCTAAAATAAAAGTGGAAAAACCAGTTGCATCTTGCACCTTGTTGAGAGCCAGAACTCGTTCCACTTCCTCCACACTCTGCTGAGAAATCTTCAGACTCTCTTCCTCTGACAGACAGCCATCACAGGACAGACAAGCACTGAGCAGCAGCTGGGATCCTTCATTATTCTGAGGAAAAACAGCAAAAAAAAGAGAAGTGAAGCTTCCTCATCCCTGAGGCCAAGAACACGTGATGAAGGTGAAACTTGTTGATAAATATATGTGAAAATATAAAGGTGAAATATATAGAGAAATATTTATTTCTTCAAAATACACATCTAAAAGAAACAGAGGTGGGTAGTAACGAGTTACATTTACTCTGTTACGTTTACTTAAGTGAGTTTTTCAAAATAAAATACTTCTAGGAGTAGTTTTAAATCACTATACTTTTACTTGAGTAGATTTACGAAGAAGAAACAATACTCTTACTCTGCTACATTAGGCTATACTGAACTCGTTACTCGTTACAGAGATACTGGATAAAGCTTTAGCTATCCAGTATCCAGTTCTCACAGTGTGGAGCAGCAGTTACATCATGCAGTGTCTTTTGTGTCGCCCAAAACAAACATATAGATATTTCAGCATTCAAAAGCTTAACGTCTAACCTGAGGAAACATGTTGAGGTTATTTTGTAAATATTTATTTTTTATGTACTCCTATGTATTATTTCATTGATTTGTATTTTTATTGAAGTAGGTTTACTTGAATTTACCTGTAGATTATTTTAAGGTATTTAAGTAATTTGTTTTATTTTAGTATTTTATCGATAGTATAAACTCTCCTCCTACTTTTTCTAGCTGATAAAATAAATCAGATGTTACTCAACAGTTACTCAGAACTTGAGTAGTTTTTTTACCAAGTAGGTTTTTACTCTTACTAAAGTAATTATTTGGATGACTTTCTTTTACTTCTACCTGAGTAACATTATTCTGAAGTAACAGTACTTTTACTTGAGTACAATTTTTGGCTACTCTAGTCGCCTCTGCCTAAAACTGCACACAACGAAATGTGACCTCTGCATTTAACCCATCACCAAAGTGAAGTAGGCAGCTTTGAGCGCCCGGGGAACGCCTCTAAAAATATTTCAAATTAGACAACAGATACCTAGCTAAGAAATGTTAAAATATCCTTTAAAGCTAACCATTACATTTAACAGATAAAAAAGTGATAAATGTGATAAATTTGCCTTGGAATGGAATATGCTGGTGTAACAGACTTTACATGAGAAAAACGTCATTAAACCTTGATGACACAACAACTCATGACTGGATTAAAACTGGATTTTTGTGTTGAAAATCTTTAAAACAAACTGATTTGGTTTTGTGGGGAAAAAATACCTGTCCAGTGACTGCATCTCTCTCCTGCTGGGAATCAGGTCCTTCATCACTCTGCTTCTTGTTGCACTGTCAGCAGATTGGTCATAAAATTAAAATAGACGCTTCATTTAAAAAGAGCAGCGTCTTCAAACCAGCCAGGCATGCATGCTGGGAACTCACCTGTTTGGTGCAGTTCTCACACTTCTCCTTCCTCTTTGCAGCCTGCACCTCAGACATTTTCTCTCCAGGTTACCTGTAGAGTACAAACAGATAAATACAGTCTATACTGTATATATAAATATATATATAGTGGGGTTTTCTTTCCACTGTTGATCATCTCCCCCAAGTCCAACCCTTTGATATAACAACTGTGTCTGCTGTTTGCTGCTGCTGTGTGTGTTTTGTCAACTCCACCCTCCTCTGGTCGACCCGCCGCCTCCCTCCTCCTTATCCTATCCTATCAGAACTGGCCTTTCTTATCACCGACACAACAGCTTCATAATGATGTGAAACTTGCACCCTATACAAACTTGTGTCCTGTCATTAAATCCTTAATGGTTAGAGTTAATTATACACACAAACACACACATCAGGTATCATCATGAGAAAAACACATATATTGTAAAAAGCCAGTGTTTCCGGTAGTAAACAGGATCAAACATGTCAACTCTGCATGGAACGTTCTTCTTCCACTGCATGACACTGAAGATCTTTAACAGCAGGCGTTCTCCCGAAAATAAACCGATTATCAATGACTTAAAAGAATACACCCTGGCTTGCTAACATACAGTCCTAGTGATTTTTAAGTGTCATTTTTAAAATAATGTCATCTGTATCTATGTGGTTTTGAATAATTTGACATGAAGCCATTTTGGAAATCTTGTAATATAGAATGTTTTTTTTAGATAAATCTATCTATGAAATCTATCCAAAATATTTTCCAATTTTACTGAACAATTTATTTGAAGAACGTAGCCATTAGTTTTGAATCCCATTAATTTGATACAATCATTAAACTCTCTACACATTTTTATTTGTACTGTAAGGCTACTGTTAGTCCAAGACATAAAAATCCAGTATCTGGTCCCAGAGGCCCATGGGTTAAAGTCTAAGTCTAAGTAACGATTAAAGATTCAAAATAATAATTTTGAGTCCCAGTCATATCAGGATTTATAAACATAAAGATAAACGCTGAGATAAGTTCCAAAGTTTTACAAATGAAAGTCCTGGATAAAATGTCAAAAAGACAATTAAACTCCTTTTTGCCCATGTAAAATTACTGGGAATTAAAATCGGCCCATACCTTCCAAAGTTTTTTTAATTTGGGCCTAGTACGTCAAACATTTACTCTTTTTTATCTTTGATGTTACAGTAGATTACCTAGGACGGGACCCACAGTCCCGACACCTGCTGATGTGGCCCAGTAAAGGACTGCTATCTCTTGGTAAAGGCGATAAAGTCGAATTGACCAATTTTGCTAGCTGGCCAAATAATGCACGTATTTCTTCCACGATTCATGTGAATCATTGCTGTTGTTAAATGATGAAAAGTTTTGTAAACGTCACTAGCGTCACACGGATGGTTTTGACAGGCGGTAGACAGTTTAATCACGGTACTGACCTCGCAATTTGACTTTACCTTAATTTAACGAATCAATGAAAGGCAAACGATTGAACAAGTGAAAATCACTCACCAGATGGTTTTATTCCACGGCCCACGCGTACAATGGCATCAAAAGAATGCAGTGACAATAGCGGTCACTGCTTAGCGGAGAGAGCGGCACAGTGACACCGCAGAGTTTACCTGCTCTGCGGTCGCTCTGCGGTCGCTCTGCTCTCCTCCACCACCCGGTAGAGTCACCTGCGGGCCGGACCCGTGGTGGTTTAATGTTCCCCAGTCATTCCCGCTATGAATTTAAATGAAAAGCTTCTAGAATCCTCACAGCTAATGGGACTCAGGCTGAGGTTGTCTGAACACGTCCGCCTCCATTGTTTACCCCGGCAAATCCATACGCATGCGCGGATTCAATAATCAAAATAAGAGCGCAGCTATTGCTGAAAATGCGGCAAAATTAAAAATTATTGCTGGCGAACCTTTCAAACACATACACGCTAAGCCTTAAAACCCATACTTTTTAAATTAAAAGATAACGAATCCTGATGTTGACCTGCAAGTGAATCCATGTAGACTCCGTAAAAAATGTCATCTTGATGAATAGAATAGTCTTTATTGTCATTGTAACACGGGGTACAAGGACATTAAGGGGAAGACGTGTATAAAATTCCATTAATCAACCACTGCATGAATAGTGCCTCTTAGTCAGGTATGTCATGGCTACCTACAGTATATACCCCATACTGTACCACCACAAATCTGGGTTTTTTGTACGTTTTGTCTGAAATTTCCGTATAGTATTTTAATTTGAAGGCAATAGGAAAATGAAACCGTCCAATCAGAGCTGGCGGCTCCAGGAAGGAAGTGTCACCCATGCAAGACAGTTGCATTTACCAGCAAAACAACTTCCTTATAATTCGTTCACGCGTTTCCTCCTACGAATACGCGTTTATTTATTGTTGAGGGCTGCAATTTGCAGAAATCCATTCTAAATAAAGGTAAGTAAAATATATTTCGTTCAACGTAATGACTTTTGTGTCAGAAAAGCGTATGTGGTTCATCTCCATCACATCCAACTCCACCACAAAGGAGGGTGGGTGTGTTACTCAATCTACTTCAAATATTTGAAGAACGAAGTTCTTCTTAATCAAATCCAATATTATCTGAACTTAATTAAACTAATATTAAATTATTAGTAATTATGACGTTAATGGTGGGGTCGATTAGGTCTTGAATTTAAAGGGACATTTAAAAAAATAGTTTTATGAATTGTGTAGTGCTTAGTTAAATGAATCTGACTTTAAACACCTAGATGTTAATTCAACCTCGTGTTTTGTGTTGGTCCAGATGGGATACATGACAGTAGAACAGCACACAACCAAACTGCTCCACCTGAAGAGATCCCCAGGCATTAGGTCGTGGTCTCTTCTTGTTGGTTAGTAAAACAAAAAACACAACAACATAAATGCAGTATTTTCTCTCTTTTAAACATGTTTTCTTTAAATGCAGGTGTTGCATCTATTGGGTTGGCAGCTGCCTATTACAGCTCAGGTTTGTTCACAAATTATTTAGCATAGTTCTGTCAATCTGTCCTTTGACATGTGCATCTCTGTTCTCTCTCCTCTCTTTTCCAAACAGACAGCATTCTGTGGAAGCTGTTCTATGTGAGTGGCTGCCTCTTTGTGGCCATGCAAAATATGGAGGAGTGGGAGGAGGCAGTGTTTGACAAGACCAAGAACCTGATTGAGCTAAAGACCATAAGCTTATATGCTTCAGTCCTGACGCTGTGGAGGAAGGGTCAGGAGAAAGGTCAGTGACCCCACAGAGAGTGCCTGTTGTTAGCCTGTAGTTTTAGGTTGCTGAATTTTTGGTCCACCTCTTTTCCTTCTCCATTTCTGTCTGTCTTTCAGTTGTGCTGGATTTGGCACAGCTCTGTGATATTTGTGTACAAGAAGAAAAGGTTCGGTATTTGGGGAAAGGTTACCTTCTGATGCTGCGGCTGGCTGCAGGATTCTCCTACCCTCTGACACAGAACGCCACACTAGGGGGACGGAGGTAAACAGCCGTTCCAATACCTTGTTTCCAGGCTGTTTCTGATCATCATTTTTTTTGTAATTTTTTAAAAGAGGTTTGAAACCTATTATATGACATTCCAGTCCAATGGACCTGGTCCTTCAGTTCATCCATCAATTTCTGGCCAAAGACTTTTTCAGAGATGGTTTTTAAGACAAGACTATAGAGACAAAAGTATAAAGGGTCATGGCTTATGTGCATTTGTAGCACTAGATTTTTTTTGCAAACTGGGTTCATTACTAATATTTTAACAAAGATTTTAATTTTAAGATTAAAAAAAAGTTCTATATTGATCCCATATATGGGAAATTGTTGTGTTAGCAGCAGCTATGCTGTTAACAGGCTGCCCCTAGCAAGTGCCAAGCTTGTGGTTCCTCTTGGAATTGAACCCAACACTCTCCACTTCTGAGGCAGGCATGCTAACTGCTACACTATGGATCCAACTAAGATGAAACATGACTCCAGTCTGTATTTTAGCTAGTGCTGTTCAAGAAAGTTTTTTTTCACACAGACACCATGCAGTGCCATTTGAAAAGCACTTTATTTGATGTCATTTCTCTCTCTCTCTCCTCATGTATTCTGTCAGTGATGTGGAGGCTGTGGGCGCGCTGCTGAAGCGTTTTGTAGGCCTGGAGGAGCTGCAGCGACAAAGGCAACAGGAGGAAGAGAGTGGATTTGTAGAAGATGAGGGCGATGATGATGAAGATTCTCTAGAGAACAGCAGCAATTTTGACGATGAAGCTGAGGAACACTGAACTGTGTTTAATGACCGTTCTTTAACTGAAGGATTCTTTCTGTTAATCAGGGATCTCACGGTCAGAGCTGATGTTTTTATTTTCAGGGAAGAGAAGGTGCAAATGTTTACACAACAACAAAAATGTTTCCATTTATTATGAAGACATTCTGTAAATCCTCTTGGATATAATGAGTGCCTGACAAAACACTCCTTAAACATTTACTGTGCTTCCAAATAATTATAGGTGTTTGTATGTGAGTTAGAGTCAGCAGTTTGTGCCTCTTCCCACACTTTCTGGACCACCCAGTAGATAAGCATCTTTTCCTGCATGTTATATTATCTTCAAGTCTGAATGAAATCATGGTTGGCAAGATTGTTTTTTTTTGCAGTTTTTTTTCTTCAAAAGTTGACATTTTTATTTACCTTTTGTGTGTATTTACCAAAGACTGAAGCATTACATGATGGTGATTTAAATTATTTCTTTGTCAACAGAATCAGGGCTATGGCAGGGCTTATTATGTAAAACAATCTTTGTAAACATATTTGTAATTTGGGTATAAAAGTGATTTCTAAATACACTGGGCCTTTATTATGACTCGAAACTACATTTTCATGCCCTGGTTTGGACTGTGTTGCAGAAAATTCCACTTCCACAATAATATGTTGTTCATTTAAAACATTAAATCTGTGGAACAATTTCCTTCATACAGGTCATGATCTCGTCTGTAATCTGCTGTAAAGGAAACAGAACTGGACTGACGTGCTCCTCTATCCACTCTTGGACAGTTGACTCTGGGTAAAGACCCAGCATCTCCACTCTGACTGCCTCTGTCTTCTGTTGCAACAAGGACAGGAATCTGCAGAGAGATGAGAAAAGCATTCAGGTTTAGCTTAGCTCAGCCGTGGACTGAAGGAGGCTCGCGTAAGTAATGAATTAATTCTTTTTTTTTTCAGGGAAGAATGGATTTTTAAGATCCATAAAGACCAGATCGCAGGTAACATTTTGAGCTTTGTGTTTTATGCTTTGTACAGATGTGTCCAGTGGTATTAGTGTTAGTCGCCCATTAAAATCCACTCTTAAACATGAACTTTTCTATTACAACTAATGCAGTAACAGGAAATAATATTGGTGCAAACTGTACAATCTGACAAACATTATTGAAATATGCTATGAGCACTATCATTTTTAATAACTGTAGCCTGTATATATACCTACAAATATTACTGCAGTTGTTGCACAGTTTCACACCAAAAAAGGTGTCTTCATGTCCTGCTTTTATGACAAGATGCTATTCTCCAATGATGAGATGTTTCCTTACGTTGATGCTTGGCTGTGAATTTGCATCGTGATGAGCGGGTGCACCAACTTTCTCTGCCGTTGATACAAGCTGAACCATCCTCTCACGTACCTGTGTTGAGGTGATTAATCATTATTTGGTTATTTCTAACCTCAAGAGAAAAGCTGCTGCTTTAAACAACTTGCATGTTTCTTTCAAAAAATCGTATGTCCTCCAAGTTCAGCAGCACATCCAGCTCCACGATCACCTCAGCCAACCTCCTTCCTGGAAAAAGGGAGTTGACTGGAGATTGTCTGAAAGAAAAAAAATTGAGAAGGAAATCTGTTCATCAGCAGACTGACTGATGTGAATCAATCCACTAGCAGATCTCACCTCTCTAATGCACTAACTTCTACTGTGGAAACACCTAGCTTCTCAGTGGCTTTGCTTTGAGCCTCGCTGCTGAACTGACCGTGGACCAATGTCTCCAGACAGGCAGCTAATGATGGAAGAGCTACAGGTATCAGCTCACACAGCACAGACAGGTGGTCATATCTGACTTGGAGAGAAGAAAATAGTGGTAAATAATGGATATAATGTCAGACACACAAGGTTTTGTGACCTCAGAGTTAGGTAATGGTTAATGGTTAGGGTTGGAGCAGTTTGGCTTTGACACCAACGCACTTAGAGTCCAATTCTACAGCACTGAAAATATGAAACAAACAAAAAAAAGAAACAGGATAGGAAGCTGTAGACATTCCTCTGATTTCTACCTTTGCCAGCCTGTGATGGCGATGCCCCTGAGCTTCACACCAGCAGATAAGGACGACGCCACCTTCAGCCACTGTAGATGATTGTCCACATGCCTCTGTGTGAGCAGCACGCAGGTGTAAACACTGGTGGAGCCTTTGAAGGAGCTGGCTGCCCACAGCTCAGACATGCCTGCACTGTGGTACTTCTCAAGAAGAGAGACTGGACAACACATCATTTTTATTGGAACATAGAAATAGTTCTACACAAGTGGAAATCAGGAAACAGAGTATTCAACTGGAATGAGCTATTGGTGTAAAAGCTCTGCTCACTTTCTGTTCACATGGCTATGTTAACACTACAGAAAGTTACATTTTACTTGTTTTAACGTTTTTATTCATTTTATATTTAGTTTTATTGATATATTGTCTGATGTGACAAGTCACAGTCAGTGATGAAGACTTTTTGTTTACTTTAATACAGATTATTTATTTTTGGATTGAAATAATTTACTGTTAATGGAAAAAAAATAAAATTGGCTAACATCACCATGTTATCTATAGAGCTGTCCTAAAGACCCATCCTGAAGTAAGTACTGGTACTTAGTATTATAATAGTATCATAATTGTATATGTTTGTAAAAAATTGTATAGATATAACCTTGTTTAATTCATACCTGTTCTGTCCACATCCAGGTCAGGAGTATAGTCCCACAACATGGGCTGGACAAGACCAACAAGACCACTGGCTGTTAAAAAACATTATAGACAGAATAAATTCAAGTTCTGTAAAAATATAGATATATAAGATAAAAATCATGATTTTACAAAAGTAATAACAGGCTTCAGCCTCTTGTTGATACAACATTGATCTATTCTTTGCATGTTAACTACACTGCTGTGATAAAATGTGGGTTTTGTGTTTGTTCCTCACCTTTCAGTGTGTCCTGGCTCATGTCTCTCATCATATCATCCCACATGATGATGTTAATATGAGGCCAAGCCTCCTTGACGGCCTGGGCGACTTTGGTCACATGATTTAGGAAAAGCTGCTGGACTGTACGTTCTGGTGACACCAACCACTGCTTTGACTGCTCACCTTCACCAAGCATGTAGACCTGTGGGACAAACCAATGAACACACAATCTAACCTGAATACCACAGTGATTCAAATACTCATCATCAACATAAACGTCAGGCTGTACCTCGTCTGCTCCAATGTGAAGTGTGTTCACACCCGGATGCAGCTCCACCACCTGCCTCAGCATCTCCATCACCAGCCGGTACCCGTCCTCTGTGTGTGGATTCAGGGTGCCAACGCAGTGTGGCAGCTCTCGGAGGCCCCACAGGGGGCGGTGCTTCAACACAAACTACAGAAAGAGAAATATTGATCATATTTGTCATGTTGGAAACATTTGTGAATATCTGGATGTCTTGTCTCCTCACCTCCAGGTGACCAAATGTCTGCACCAGTGGGATCACCTCCATGCCTTTGGACTTGGCCAACTCTTGCATGTTTAATATTTCCTCACGGCTGAAATCACAAAATAACAGTAAACTTTGGACAGACTTACAAAACAAATCAAAGCTGTTTATGACACAGACTTCCTGTGCTCTGTCATCGGCTCACAGGAAGGATGCTATCTTTATTACAGGCTATGACTGCATGATAAGAGAGAGGTGAAAAAATACAAATAACAACCATGACCTTTAAGGTCCAGGTTTCTGCTAACCTGCCAACACAGCTACTGGGAGCAGAGCTTTAAGAGTACTTACTGTAAGGTGAGAATGTGTAAAGTCTGTGTGTTTATTGCACCTGTAAGGAGTTTGGGCTGTGGCCTGCAGCAGCTTCAGCTCCCCCTGGTAAGGAAACATGTCCTCGTACTCCACCAGGAGACCATCCACTCCCAGCCGTGAGAACAGCTCGATCAGCTGAGGAATGGTGACGAGTTTACTTTAATGCTTTTACTGTGAGGCAGTGTTGATAAGAAGCTGTTTGTCACACTGAAGGCTGCCGTGTGACCTCACCTGGTGAAGGTATTCTGTTCTTGGAGGGGCCCCTTTCAAATCCAGGTGAACCAGTTTCTTCCCCTTTGGCCATGGTGGACACTGCATCCTGCTGCACTGTGAACATGAGTTAATGCTGTATTTACAGGTGTATTTCTGCTAACTAATGTGACTCACTTTTGCAGTTTTTAGGCTTAATTATGAACATTCCTTCGTGGTAACTACATTGTATATTTGTACAATAACTTTCTTTTACAGCTTTCTTTCTCTTTGTATAACTAACAGCTTCGTTATGCCCTCTGCTACTGTAACAGGAGCATTTTGTGAGAAGAAAATGCGACGACATTACAATATTTTATCTTACCATTTAAACCTTACCTCACTGACTTGGTTCCGTGCAACACAATAGGCAATCGATTAGAATCGTCTGGCAGGGCAGTCGTATTTGTAAAGTTAGTTTTGTATTGGTACTCACGTTATTGCGATGCCATTTAAGGACCTGTCACAGATATACATTTTGAATAAATGTCGAAGAGTGGGATATTGTTCTGAATTAAAATGGTAATTTAGAAACAGTCCCTTAGTGAAAGCAGTGTCTTTGAAGTCGCAGATATACAACGGAAAACGGACTTCATTGGTCTCAGGCAAAGCAGCAGACTGCTGAATGGGCGTGTGACACGACTGAGACGTAAAACGCAAGCGTTGACGCATGAGTTCGTCCTAACAAAATAGTGCTTTCTTTTCCCACTCAGCCAATGGAGTGCATGGTTTGCTGCACACCCGGAAGCGGAACCTGTGCTAGAATGGCATTATAACATTTTGGCGGGGCGTCGGTCTGTGTGACATATGTTTAGGAAAAACAACAGCTTTTCCCATATAACTTAAATGTTTCATAGCAGACAGAATGGCACTTGTGCGAATGAGGAACGCGAAGGGAAAGAATGCGACGGAAATGGCAAAAAAAATAAAAAGGTAAGTCTGAAATCAGTGCTTGTCTCCCGTGTGTGTACATTGTTTACACGGACGCCAGTCCCAAACGTCGCTATTTACGGACGGCAGCAACATTACTATGTCTGCATCGATATTAACACTAAACCATAGGGAATTATGCAGTCAGCCAGTAATACACCAAACGGAAATGAAAACTGAGGCTATGGCTTTCTTTCTAATTTGTTGCAGTTATTTTGTGTGAATGTAATGTGATGTAAAGCTTTACTTTATTTTACACATTATACAGAAATGTTGCTTTCTCAAAATACTGGCTTAGGGGCCAACATAGACCATAGAGTGTTTGACAAAAGTGAAAATATCAACTGCGTTATGTTGACATCCTTTTTGCCTGTCAGTGTACTCAAAATGTCATTATAACTGCTATGTAACACACGTGTAACTCTTCAGGCACTTTTTTTGGTTAAGTAGCTGGGCTGCATTTGCAGACCAAAAAAAGAGCCCATATTTTCCTGCACAAGGTGAATTCAAACACGGGGTTCAGGGAAGCATCATCACTGGTGTAACCTGGGGGTCACGTGGTATATCGGCTCTCACAACATACCACCTCGTGCAGGTGATCATGATTTACACCCTAGCTGTCACACACGGGTCAGTCCTTTACAACCAAAGCCACCAAATGGGTGACTGAACTTTGTAGAACTTTTAAACAAAAAATATTTCTGTTCTATTTATCATGTAAAAAGCTCTCTGTCTGTTTGTGTTGTTGACCTTTGGTTTCTCATTGATTGCTAACGATGTTCAGTTCAGCTATTTTTAAAAATACTCTGTATTCCAAAAACATTGTATGACACTTATATATTCATTAGAATATATTCTAGGTTATTGTTTGATTTGTTTTGAAATTTTGCAATTGTCTCAATTATCATTCTTCTTTGTGTAACTGTACATATTCTGTAAATGTAAATCTTATTTGTATTTTTGGAAGAAAAATCAAGAAACTGGGACTTGGATTAATACAACATACTCATAAGTGAATGATTTTTGTCTTTCTGTCTTTGCTCAGAGGTAATGCACTCAGGCAGGCCTCAGCATGGAGGACATACAGAGCATGTATAATCTCACTGCTGGTGGTTCTGTCAGTGTGTGGAGCAGCTGCATGGTTTTACATGTTCTCTGTGGAGAGTGACATCACAGAAACTCTGGTCAAACAGAGTGAGTTGGTCTCATCACAGCCCAGGGTCTTCACCGTCCAGTGCTCTGAAGACTATGAGAACTACAAGCGATATCCAAGTAAGAAACAAAACTTCTTGGAGTTTCCTCTGTAAAGCTAATTGTTAAATTATAAATCATTTAGAATAATAATTTATTGTTTTGGGTGTTTAAATAAAACAATTGCATTGAATACAATTATTAAATATTAAATAAAAAATAATTTAATTAAAATTTAAATATACCTAACTTTATTGGATCTAACTGTAAAAAGCCTCTGACTCCACTAGATGCCAGTAAAGCTCAGTCCTAACCTACGTACTCGTTACAGCCTACACAGCAGTGAAGTCAGTGTAGGTATATTGTTACCTATTGGCCGCTAATAAAACTGTTTAAGACGTGCATAATACCCAAAAGAATGACTTAAAAATGAACTAGAGATGCCCAACATTATAGCAGCATAGATAAACATTAGTCAAAAGCTAACATTTGTCAAACAAACCCCCAAAAGAGGAAGGCACCGTCCCCACACACTGCTCCCTGGATGCTTAAAAGCTGCCCACTGTTCACTCCGGTGATGGGTTAAATGCAGAGGCTCAGTTTCGTTGTATCCCCGTGGTACAATGACAATACAGACCATAAAATAAAATAAAATAAATAACCAAAAGCTTACTCAGTCTGACAGTATGTTTACCAGTTTAAAAACAACTATATTTTTAAAAGATACCCAAAATGTTCCATAAATGACCAAGAGTATAGATCTTAATCAACAGAAAGACAAAAATGTAGAAAAATAATACAATGTACAAAAAAATGTTAAAAATAAGGTTAAGCTTAAGTTAGCTTAAGTTGACCAGTTTACCAAGTGTTTAACCAGAATAGCTAAAATAATTGAGTTACCCCTAAATATTTAGTATTTACCCCAAAGAACGTCAAAAAGCTACTGCCCTCAGTCTTGGAAAACACAAAAGTTACATATTCTAAGGAGGCTTTTTGACCTGGTTTGTCCTCCTCTGACCAGCCGTTCTAATACATATTTATGGCTGGATTTTGATGGAATTTTCTTTCCATCATTCTCGAGTGTATTGGCATTCTGGAAGACTAAGCAACCATGGCAGGGGTTTGCAGACTGGGTTCTGTGATTTTATGTACAAGTATAAAATGTTTTAAAATAGATAACTTTTGAGGAATTAATTGATAGAACCAGTAAACTCCTTACCTTCCATCCCGTGTCCATTTTGGTGACATTTTCTCTCTATTGCAGAATCTAAAGTCTCCAAGAAAGCTTAGGAAAGTGTATTATAATGCTCAGCTATTGTTTCTCAGCCCGCTCTTGTTTACCTGTCTCCCAGGATGCACCCCCCAGAGCTGTGGCCGTGCAGTCACAGACAGCGTGGTAACAAAGGACGAGGCTCAGGTGCTCAGAAGGTAAACACTGTCAGCACACACTGTGCAGTGTGTCTCATCTTCCCCATGTCTTTGTTTTTGTTTCTGTTCACTGTCTCCTGTCTATTCACACAATGTTTACACTTTTGTCCCTGCTTTTTGTTTATGACACAGATTGGCTGAGAGAGGTCTCGCACTGGCTGGTTCAGAAGGAGGAGTGAGTGTTTTAAAAATTGTATTGATTGGAATGATATAATGATGTGTATGTAGCCTGGCTGACCAAAAAACTTACATGTAATGTTGTACCAGATTATGTTTAGTCATTTTGAGATAACATAAGTTTATTTTTTCTGCCATTGTGAGATATTTGCCTTTTCATATGTGAAAAGATATTTACTGTTAGCTAAGTTAGCTTTTGGAAACTCAAGCTCCCATACGACAAATGCAGGAAAATGATAAAATTAAACAAATCAAATATAGTTTAAAAATAGCTCATAGCTAGCAAAGGCGATGTCAAATAAGATGTAGCAAATTAAATCAGTTAAATCTGATCAAAGAAAGTAAGAAAAGTTGGTTGTAACTTAACTCAACATCGTAAGTTGCTAAATTTGAGCTAAGCGATGCCTAAATGTAAACAAAATATAAATACATTTAAACAAAATTCAGTCAGTAGACAGTAGCTGGTCATATATATAGCTAGCTACTTAATATTGGCTAAAGAATATAGCCAGGCCTCAAATGAACCATACTTCCATCTTATGTGGTTTTCTTATCCATTAATTATTTCTGAAGCTTTTTTGGGGAAACTATAAATTGCCAACAAATATTCTCAAGACTCAATAAGATGATCTGATAAGATTCTGTCAGCCAGAGGTTAAAAGTCGTCACAGTCACATGTCAGCCTGATTCATATCAAAAAACCCCAGAGAGACTCTCATTAGAACAGACAGAAAGACAAGAAGGTCAGAGGTCATCAGACACATTCTTGACCAAAGATCCTTTTATAATTAAGAGGTTCGTAACCATTTGCTGTGAAGTAATGACCTGGAAAACTCCAGTTGTCCTTGAAGTCACACCAGAGCTGTTCTGACGCCCTGCTGTGATGATTTTCTCTTGGCATCGGCAGACCAGCTGGTACGCTGAGCCGAGTCCAGGTCTGATGATGAGCTGATTTGTGTTGTCGAGTCCAGAAATGTCCCTGGCATACATTAGCCTCTGCTCTCTGTAGACAGGAGGAGCTGGTCCTCGGCCAGTTCAGGGACTATTTGTGGAAACACTGAGATGTTTAAGTGAAGGGAGTGGAAACTGCATCAGAGTAACATCAGAGAAAATGACTTCTTTTTCTGGCATGAGAAAAGTGGTCCGGTGTCCCAGAGGAATTACAGTGAAGGGAACTAATGATGTGCAGGACATTTAGCTGCTGCTCAGCTGTGAATTATCCTGCACTTGTCATTTTAACTTTAGCTCAAACTCTGTGATGCTGATTAGAGATCTGACCAGTCGACCAGTGGGTCTTTATTGGTTTAAAGATTTGATGTGATGTTATTATCAGACAAGTGTTGGCCTTTTAATGCTAGATATTTCAGTCCTTCCAGATTGTAATAATAATAATCCACTTGGCCACCTGTTGGAAATTACCTGTAAAATGACTGGTTTGATCCCCTCTGGTAATATTTGGTTTTTAATTTTTTGTCTGTGTGAGTGTATGTGTGTGTGTGGAGTGCTCTAACAGTCTGTATTTATATTTACAATATTTTCATAATCAACAAGTAGAACCGTCTGCTAACAAGTCCGACTACTGTATATACTATATTTTAAAGGTCTCTCAAACATTGGACAATTGTGTGTCCTGGGTGTTGTCCATCCAACATTTTCCTAGGACAGTGACATTTTCCTCACAGATTTTACTGCCTCTTACCTTGTTGACTCGAGCTAACCTCAGGTAGCCAACGGTTGATGGGGGGGAAAAACATCAGCAGGATTAACATAAGTTTGGCTATATTTGCTTTGGTTTGATTTATTCTTGTTCTACTGCCCATCACAGCCCCACAGACAAACAAGCATTCACAGTTGCATTCACACCTACAGTTTATTGAGAGTGAATCATCAGTGATCCTATGTATTTTGGGACTGTGAGAGAAAACCCATGCACACACAAGAAGAACATTAAAATTCAGGGATCTAACCAGCGTACATTAATATTGATTGATTGATTTTTGACTTTTTTTTTTCTTTTACCCCCCAGGCTTCCATACTGGACCTGCACTCTGGAGCTCTGTCCATGGGAAAACAGTTTGTCAACATCTACAGGTAAAAAGTGCTTCACCCTGTCCGTTTTTTATTTGATTGGGTTGGTTCCGTCCCAGATTTAGATTGTGTACCCCACCTTCAGTTTCCTCCCCCTCTCTCTCCCATATCCCTTGAGGAAAAAAATACTGCAAAGAAAGCTTTAGAGATCACCAATCAGGAACCCACCTCACATCCTGACCTGGATGACATCCTCCACTGGGGACTTCCCAGTGTGATGAGATTCTCTCCCCCCCCCTGAGTGTGAGAAAAAAAAAGAATTGAAATCAAATTTAGTGGTTTAGGCATTTTTAAAACACTGTAATATTGGTTGATGTGCTGGAACATTGTGTGAAAAAAAGTGTGTTTCTTTAGTAAATATAGGCTTCCCTGGATTTGTTCGTGTTGTTGCATGTAGAAGAAAAATGACTTGGAGTTGTAATGTGAAAATGGCTCCCCCTGGGATTCACGTCAGTCTCTGTGGGAATCCTATCGCAGCTCCAAAACACTCTGAACGTTGGTACATAAATATGGATAGAAGTCTGCTAAAAGATGACTACGATTTAACCATGTATTAGATAATGACTTGCCTGAAACAGACAAAAGTGGGTCGAAGATAAACGCCCGGGATAGCTAAAAAAAAAGTGGAAAGAAAGCACAGCTAGCTGTAACAGCTACTTAAAAAAATACAAATAAATAAGTAGGTACCGTAATCATTAGCCAAAACCTGAGCTGACAAGTTCATTAGAAACATAATGATCAATCAGGAAGTCTCAAAACTCAAAAAGTTTACCATGGAAAAAAGCTACCTTTAAAGACAAAGATAGACGATTAGACCATCAAGATTTCATATTGTCAAAACGTTAGTAATAGAAACCTAGAAACCTAAGCAAGAAATAAAACACACCAATAGATACAGATCGGTCTTATGTTGATAAGAAATCACTAAAATGTAACTAAATATTAGCACAAACTACAACCTGTAGCTGTTATTTAGGTAAAACTTTGCTAAAAGACAGCTTAAAAGTTTTTTTCCAGGAATTGGTGTTAAACCATTTAAAGTGGTGTCTCTGCCTGTCCTTCATGTGTCCCTGATTGACTGTGTGTGTGCGTGTGCCTGTGTGTGTTTGTGCAGGTACTTTGGGGACGTGATAAAGGATGTTTTCACAGAGCAGGATTTCCAGCTTTACAGGTGAATGAAAAGCCATAATTAAAAATCACTATTGCATTTTTTTTTTGCTCAAAATAATCTGTCTGCAGGCAGTCAAACCCATCTCACCCTAACACACGTGTGTTTGTGTTTGTTATGTGTCTGTCAGAGCCGTACGTGGGCGAATCCAGGAGGTGATTGCTGAAACCTTTGGTTTGGACCCGGCCCTGATGTACCTCACTAAGCCCACGTTTTTCTCCAGAATCAACAGCACGGCGGCCAAAACTCAACATGACGAGTACTGGCACCCACACATTGATAAGGTGAGAACACAAAGCAGAGCAGGACGGCTTCAGATAAAACACACACAGATGGGTTCACAAAGAGTGTTATTTACTCCATCGAATCATCAGGATGCTGGAGCTGTTCCTGGGAATCTAAAAAAAATAAATGAGTGGATGCTCAACTAATTCCATGCTATTCTGTGCCTAATAAATGAAGGGACTGCTTTTTAATTCTGACTGCTTTGGCTGAGCTTGAAAGCAAAAGCTCAAGAAGTTAATCTTCTGTGAGAGCCGGATTTTTCCGACTGGAGGAATTTAGTTTCAGCTCCAAACTGCCAGGAGCATTTTCTCATCCTTTCTCTTCATTTTCACTTGTTCACTCCTTTTGTCTCGTGACTGTCATTTTTGTGCTAAATGTTGATGCACAATTATCAAGGTAATACCTCCATTTTCCTTTCACCCAGGTCTCTTATTTCTGTGTCATGCTATGCCTTTTAATATCAGTAGGTGGAGGTAATTATCCGTAAATTCCTCAGTCTTGTTAAACAGTGACACTTCATTGCAAATTAATAATTTTACAGAGTCAAACTGTAAAGGGCAGTTTAGTGTCTCTGTTAAAGTTCTTCAGCAGTGTTTTTTTGGAGTCGCTTCAATCAGTGTTTGTAAAACCGTCATTGGAATGAAGTTATTTCTGTTTCATATCAACTGTGAAAGATCATGCCGTGCTTGTTCTTCAATCTCACACCTGTGGGAGAGACCTGTGAAGTGTGTGAATAATGAGTCATAAGAACTAAGTAAAGAGAGAATCAGGCATCAGTTTGACTCTCATTCACACAGGGTTCAAACACGTATCTGAAGTCAATGGGATTCATTGCATCAACTTCAATGGTCTGCTTTCAAGGTTTGGAAATTGTGTTGACTTTTACTGTAGATGTAAAAATGACACAAATGGGTAAAATCTTTGCAGTGTCAGCTAAAAGTTAGGACGACACCTAAAAAGATCCAGTCCAAATGGCTCACAATTGGCCAAATAAACAACAAGCGCTGAAGATGATTGGTAGTTTTTGGAAAATAAATTAAAATATTATAAGGTCATATAAAATAATCAAGAGCTTTGTAAAGTTAGCACAAAAACTGTTAAAGTTAAGTCAATAAAGTACCAAAAACACCATGCTAAACCTTGAAAGAAGATGCACAATTTTAATTAAAAAGAAACCAAAAACTTCACGCATGCATTGAACAAAATAAAACGATTAACTTTGTTGGCTTGAATAAAAAAAGGAGCTACAAATTCAACAAAAGGGTTAGTCCATAAAATAGCAATAATGTAACACAGAGGTAAATGACAGGAAGAGCTAATATTTACCACAAAGATGGCGGGCTTCAGTAAAAATTGTCCTGAAAAAGAGAATTTCAATCTATCTTAAATTAGGCACTGAAAACTCAGGCACAACCAGCGGTCAGTTAACAATCAGAAGTCAGCTGGTCTGTACTTTTGACTGACCTGTTAGAATGTGGATGAAAGCAGATTTTGTGCTGGGAGGATGCAGTAAAAGTCGTCACAGATGGAATGACTTCCCTGATTCTCCACACACTGACAGTTCAGACCCAGACTCATGAGAAAAACTTCTCTCCTGGATGATTCACTTTTCATTGAGGTTTTCCAGACATGTCCAATTCAGATGGCCCTGGTGGAAAACCCAACACTGAGTGACAGTCCAGGAAGCTCAGAAACTACTTGGGAAGACATTTTTTAGCTTTGGAGGATTAATGTAAAAAAGTGTCAAAACAAAAGCGAGACTAAACACACGTAGATTCTCTGGTTGTCATTCTGTATCAAGGCTTTTCATTAGGGCCCAGAAATGGGCTGAATTATCTGTTGACACACTGGTACTGGAAAAGGGAACTGAAGCCACTCAAGGAAAAACTCAAAGCCACAGGCGCTTTAACAAAACTGTCAATAAAATCTTGCAAACTCTAAAAAAAGGAAAATAAAAAGTTATCATTGCATAGTTTTGTTGAAAAATAGTCTGACTCTGAATTTTTTCCTGCTAGCTCTGCTTGTTCTCAGTCAATGTATCGAAGCCTTAAAAAACTTAAAAAAAAACCTAGTTCTTATTATGAAAAACTTAGTGGTAAGTGTCTGCAGAAAAAAAATAACTCTTATAGGTATAAATACACTGTGGGAGAGTGAATGTTCTTTAATCTTCTCTAATCAGAAGGCTGTGATTAAAAACAGATCATTGCTGTTTAGTGTAATGTCGCTGACATCGCTGCCGGCACTTGTTATGGAAGCTTCCTTCCTTATTGTTTTATTTTTGTCTTAGAAAAGAAGGTGGTTGACTGAATGACAGTAATTGGCTGACCAACTCAAGACTGACTTTGTTGCATGTTAATGTTTAGCCCCGTCACAAAAACACATAATTATTAACCACAACTGTAAGGAGCAGGGTAGTCTTGTGAACTGACCTTGAAAGTCTTTGAAAAGTGCTTGAATAAGATTCCATAGAATATATATAAACCCTGGCTATACTTTTTGTCCTCCATCTTTCCGTCCATCCATCAAGCAGCCCTTCGTTCTTGCACTGAGGCCAATTTCTTTACCTGGAGCTCATTTGAATATATATGGTTTCTCAGGTACGGCGTCTTCAACAGTGAACATTTCTTCTCCCTCAGGATCTTTTTTTTGTTAACACCGTGTCATTGAAGCACTCGTAAGCTGAGAGCATATAAAAACCGTCCATATCATTTATATCATTCCTTCAGACACGGTGACGTCACGCTCAGATCTGGTCAATTACAGATTTGTAGGGCGTCTGTATTTCACAATGCTCAATTTAAAAAAAACAATCAACCTTGAAACCACTTTAAAATTATCCTCTTGTGGTGTATTTTTTTTGTTTTGTTTTTACAGGTTTGGAGAGGTCATTTAACATCCTAGTATCAGAAAATGAAACAAAGAAACGGGAGCAGCTGCTGCGGTTCTGTTGATCAATATTTTACATTACCACTGTGTCAGGTGACTTCGTGTACATAGGAGAGAGTGACTGAAGATTGATTGGCTCATAAATGTAATACACAGACCCAAAAACAAGACTGAACACTGTACTTAAAATCAAATTACCAGCTCTATATAGCTTTTTGGCAAGGCGATACCACACCAATAAATACAACGATACAATGGAACAACAACAAGAAAGTGAATACTAATATTTTTTATTTGTAGTCCAATCACTTTTCGTTTGTGTAGAAAAAGGGCGGGATATATAAGTACATTTCATTTTAAATCAATTTTACATATTTTTTTGATTTCTTTCATATGCCCAACTCACAGGAGCAGTGGGGCCTGGGATTCAAACCACAACCTCTCAAATACCACCACAGTAATGGATTAATCATGACTAATCATGATTAATTGAAATAACCCATTCCTAAATATAACCTTATTAAATAAATAAAAACTTTTTCTCTCTATATTGCAGGAACAGAAAGACAAACAACAGCAGTTACATTATTTCGTGTCTTTTCCAACCATTCTGAAATGTTTTTAAACTGAAAGGTTCCGGGGGTGAGGTAGAACTACAGACGGACAGTGTTGCTTTTCCTTGCGTCTCCACCTCTGCTGTGTCTTTGTGATGTTCTCCTAATGCACCGCTCAGTGTGGACTCAGCAGGTTTACATCGATCTCTACATCTTTCAGTAGCTCTGTTGTAAGTCACCACGACTACCTGTGCCAACAGCACATTTCTGGTTGTTTGTGTGGATTGCCCGGCTTTCAGCTTATAAACTATTGACTCCTATAATGGGCTTCACAAGTGTCGCATGTGAGAACAAATCCCATTTCAAACCTTATGTTCTTTTCCAAAGTTGGATAACTTTCTGAAAAAAAGTAGAACCAAAATCATGGTTTACGGAGCAGAACAAACCGTCGTTCTTAATGACAAGTCAGGTGATTTAGTAGGTGACGGATATTTCTCTGGTTGGTTTTCTTGGCAGACTCTCAGTAGAATTTGACTCCTATGTTTTTTGTTTGGTCCCATGTTGTCATGTCTATGGTGTATTTAGTTCAGTGACATAGTGTTTGTCAATCCAACAGTATCTCGGCCCGTTTGTCAACAGGACTTGGTCCTTGATAATTTGTAGATTTTTACTTTTTCAGTAACTGAACAGAACCTATAGGAGCAGCTGCACCTGTACATACCGGGTGTGAACGCCCCCTACAGACTGTGTCCTGTGTAGCACAGGCTCATGTCAAACATCACGTCTTTTTGGCTCGAAGGATGAAGTCTCTCACTGTTTTCTTTGATGTGATCACAGTTGCAGCAAAAAAGAAGCTTTTTTCGCAGCAGTGGCTCTAACTTTCGAAAAGCATTTGCTGCAACTGTGAGCTTTTCTGATTTCTATTCTTCAGTGAACGCTCAAACGTACAGGATGTGCCGTTTTCTCTATAAAGCAGCTTGACAGCATCTGACTTTTATCTGCTCATTGGTGATTCATCTCTCTTTGCTCAGATTTTTACCTTCAAGTCGGAGCAGAACTCACTTTGATGACTTCATTGTCAAACTTTGGACGTTTTTGTTCTTCGGCTCAAATGAAGTTATTTGTGCTCCGTGGCTGTGGTTCAGTGTTGGAGGAAGTCTTCCAACCTGAGCCCATATCCAGTCCAGAAAAATTGACTTTTAGTACCGCTAAATTATGTATATGTCAAGTTAGTACCTGCCCCGCCCACACTCGTCACACTGATCCAACTGATGTTGAACACAAAGCACCATGCTGGCAGTTAAAGAAACATTACGTTCAGAAGAAATTAAGAAGAAACTTTAGTTCAAAAAAGGAAACTTGGTTATTTGTTGCTAGTTGCGGTTTACACAAGTGGTGTCAAGTGATGACTGACACCACTCTTAACATGAGGAAACAAAATAATTACTTTCCTGTTCTTATGTCTCCTGTCACAGTTGCATGAGAAAATAAATAAAGACATTAATTATTATCAACTGAATGTCAGTAACAAATCCTGTCTCCCAGGTAACGTACGGATCCTTTGACTACACGTCTCTCCTGTACCTCTCTGACTACGGCTCTGACTTTGGCGGAGGACGATTTATCTTCATGGACCAAACTGGAAACAGGACGGTGGAACCACGAACAGGTAATGGAACCAACAGTGCTTTAAGCTTTATTTCCAATACATAGTACCAGGAACCTTTCAAGGACTTCAGTGGTTCCTGGTTTCAAAGGCTGCATGTGTTTCCAATGCACTAGAAGTTCCATCAAGATTTGTTCTGTTCTTTTGTGAAAAGAACAGTTCCACAGTTGTTCCTTCGCGCTACAATGTTTCTGCCACAAGAGCAGGAACTGTTTTGTGGTTGAAGTCCAGTACTTGCTCCTCCATCTTTTTCTGGACCAGTCTGAATGGCTTTTCCTGTCATGGGCTTCGACACTCATGATGTTTCAGGCTGGTGTCAAGACAGTTGTTGTTGGTCCAAACTATCAGCAGCTTCATTGGCGAGAACGTCCGCTCTAGTTCTGTGAGTCCGTTTAGCCACGCGAAGAGAAAGTGATAAAAGATGGTGGATTATGTGATTACAGCTGAGTTTAAATCATAATTGAGGAGCTCAACTGCAGTAGATAAGCGAAGGTGGTTTTAGTGGAGGTTGCAAATCCTCTGTAAGTGATGTGATGAACGGCACAGCTGAGTGGAGGTGCACGGGATTACTCTTCAGCTCATGTACAGCACCCAGCAGGATTAGACTTTACAGTATCTTCATCTCCTTGAAATGGTCTTTGGTTTTTACCTTTAAACCCAGTCTGAGGTTTATGCTCTTGGTCAAATATGGAAATACTGCGAATGCTAAGTAGTTTTCAGAGACTGTTTCCTAAAACCTAATGTCACTGTTTTTCGTTTTTTTGGAGATTATGTTCATTTAAATTTTTTACTGGTTTAAGTGTAATTACACACATTCACACATGATGAAACATGTCCTCTGTGTTTAACCCTTCCCTGGGGAGCTCTGGTTGATCTCAGCTGCACCCGGGGAGTGAGGGGATTGAATTTTTATTCCATGGCTTGTTTTTACTGCATTGCTCTTGTAGTGTCTATATGTTTCTGTTCAACATCTAGGTTTGGCCAATTTTCCCTTTCATAAAATGTCTCTCCGTCACAACTCACTCAATGTTTCCCTTCAATTTGGCCCTTTTCTTCCAATCACTGACTCACCCTCTGTGAGTCAGTGCTGTGGCTTACCCCTGGCTCTCTCATCCATCTCCTATGCTTCTTTCAGCTTCAATCAATCTTCTGCTTCATTTCTGACCGTTGTCCTATTTTTATACCCTCCTGGTCAGTTCTTTTCCATTCCATTATTTTCTTTCAATCTTACCTCTTATTCTTTAGTCATTATAGACAGTCTTTAACCTCAGAGCAGTGCATGCTGGGGTTTCCTACAATGTGATGGAGCGGTACAGGACATGGACAGAATGGCGGTCGTTGAAAAGAGTGACTACAGCTCATCTCCCGTGGCAGGTTTTTTTCATGAACAACAATCCCCCCACCGTCACCTCCCAGAAAATAAAGAGTAGCTGAACGAGTAGAGAAGAGCGAGACATGTTCCACTTCAGGAGCGCTCTGAATATGTTTCAGCATCTAAATATGACAGACAGGTCAGAGACCCCGTTCCAGTCCAACCAGTTATTAAAGTTGTCAGTGTGAGCTTGATGTTCAGAAGTGCATGAAGAAGCCACATGCATAATGCATCAGTGGCCAGGATCGTTTATTCTTCTCTTTGGGCAGCATGCTGTGCCCTTGACTGACACGTTTTGATGTACCGACTGTCTGATTCTCATACCTGGATGGATGATTAGTTTGCTTGAGATGAGGGTGATGAATCAGGTGTAATTATAACACCAGGAAGACAATCAGGATTTTTTTTTTTGGCTGACAAAGAGGCAGAAGTACAATCTGGCTGCACAAAAAGCAAAGAGGAAGGGAATTAGACAGAAGGATTAGAAGAAAGAGATGGCTGATGGATTTGTTGAGTGTGAACGTGTTCCCCAAAGATCGGGACGAGAAGCTGAGTGGATCGGAGCACAGATGGAGAATGGCTGTGAGGGAGATAAGGTGCAGATCAGCGATACAGAGACGAGCTGCTGGGCTGGGAAAGGCAGATACAAATAGAGCGGTAAAAGGGCAAAATGATGAGAAAAAAATTGGGTTAAACCTGCCATTGAGGACAACCGGAGGGGGATTAGATAAAGTCAGCTGGGCTGAGACCCTGAATGAAAAAGCCTGACCTTGGTGTCAGTCTGCCGACAAACAGAATGAAGCACAACTACTGTATATCTGTCAACAACGCACAGAAAGATGGTCATAGTACATGAACTGACTTTTGACCCGTGATCTGCGTTTTTTAGTTGTTTATGAACCAACATGTCGGACAAGGTGATCAGAGCGTTTCCTCATATATTCACATTCAGAAAAAATTAAAACCCACTGATCAATATTATATTTTTTTGAATAAAAACAATCAGTGGAGAAAATGGTAATGGAGAAATGTTACAGACGAATAAACTGGAAATATAACATGTCTGCATGTGAACAAAATTGAAATGTTGCAAACAAAGTAAAGCAGAACAAGAGGTGAAATATTAAAAAAAAAAAAACAGTATCAAAATACTTTTGAGATGATGGAATATTACACAGTAGATAAATGGAAATGTGAAAACACAGCTGATAGATATTTAAATCTATAGCAGGTTGGTTCTTAAATCCACAACTGCTTTTTAGATTTATTTGTCTTTTTTATCCATCATGAATCTTGAGAATGAGCTTCTACTAGAACAGGGTGTTGACCTTTAATGACCTTTTACGTCATGTGGAGAGTAATGGATAATTGAAGGTCAGGTATTCAAGTGTCACTAATTAGCAAAAATGAATGTTTTTGCCAAAAACTATGTCGATTAGCAGCCTGTGCTTAGAGAGTGATGATTGAAGCTGGGGTAATTGACCGACCAACTGTGGCGACCAATGTGGGTTTAACATTCAAGTTCAAAAGCACGAAGGCAGTTGTTGAAAATGGAGGAGAGAAGCAGCTCCACCTTTTAGCCTTCATCGTCAGCCCCCCGGGGTCATCATGCTCTCAGTAGATGATTAGTTATACGACGGTGGCAGCAATCAATGCATGTACTGGACACTGTGGTGAATGTTCACCCCGTTGCTAATGGGTGTTTGGATTCAGCTGGAGACGACAGAGTGTAGACTGTGTTGTTAACATAACACCCTAGTTCTGAGAGCACATGTGCTTTCTTTAAGTAATAGATGAAACATATAGCCATGTTGAATAACCTATTTTGTCTGTGACAAATTTAGTTTTTGGGGATACATATCGGCTATTTTTTTGGCAGCTGTGATCTGTTTCGGCTACTTGAAGCTAAAGTTTGTTCGTTTTTAAGTTGATCCCAGCCACATAAATGTCATCTTTCAGGCAGGTTTTTCTAATAAATAGGAAATGTGCCAGTCTACTTCTGGTTAACTATTTAGTAGGGATGCACTGAATATTCAACCAAAAACTGCGGCCAACGTGGACTTAATATTGGTCTGATATTACCAACATGTCTGCAGGGTGAACGTATTTCAATATATCTGAGAAAGACCCATGGATAGCGATTTGCAAAATGTGGAATGCTAAAATTTTAAGAGGTACATCTGCAAAGGATTTCTCCTCATTGGGTTTAATTCATCAGCTGAAATCTAAACATCCTATGCTGAATGTTAGAGAAAGGAAAGCCTCTTTGTGAGTTTTGGCTGCATACAGCTCAGACCAGGAGCTCCCCACGACATTCACTTCACACCAGTGGGTCTCAATAGAAAGCATTCTCTCTCTTCTTTCGATCTTTTGGTATGCATCAATTTTTCATTCTTAAAAAAAAATTAAAATTAAAATTACTTGTTGCCCAGTACTTTGCCTTATACAGAGATATTTCATGGCTATTATTCATGGCTTATTTGGGCTAATGTTTTGCTAGTTTGGATATATTGTCACTAGTCTGCACATATTTTTTTCAGAAGTCCTTAGACACATATCTGAAACTACATTCCATATGGGTCAATACTTAACCCTGCAAGAATAAATTTGACATATTATTGTTTTCAAATACTGTCTGTTCCGTGTGCTAGAACAGCACAAAGGATGTTGGAAAATATTTTCTTTTCCACTAACACTTTATCAGGCATCATTTAAAGTTCAAATCCTTACATTTTATTAGATGTAATACATTTAAGATATTATAAGTTAAACAAAGAACAAATACACACAAAGAACTCGTAGACGACTAATGTATCTATGAACTCCCTTTACGTCTTGTCCTGCACTGGAGCTTGTTAAAGAAACCTCCAAACGCAGGTTTCCTGGGGCAGAAGTCAGCCACTAAAGTCAATTTGGAGGATAAATCTCTCACTATTTGTTCAGCTGCAGCAAAAATAACCAGCAGGTAAAGGATCTGCAAATGTCACCTGGGTTCTTTTGACACCAGCCAGGTCTTCACTCTTTACAACCACAAACAACAACAGCACATTCAAGGCACAGTCGGAGTTTGATTGAGTGTTTACGCTGCTTGGCTTCTGTGACACAATCAGACAAGTCAACATTTGTGATGTTTTCTTTTTGTTCTCCTCCTGTTTACAACACAAAAACACAGTCTTTTATTGGTAAACCGACGAAAATGTGACACTTCTTATATGCACCAAATGATATTAGAGAAGTTTGAGTAAACATAATTAGGGCGAGTCAACCTGAATTCCACAAATGTCACATTTAACCGCAGAAAACTTTACTCAACATCCCCCTTTTCACCCTCCAAATTTTACTCACAATCCCACAAATATGAATACTTGCTTCAGATATGCAGTGGCGGTCGGTGTGTAGCCATTTGGATGATGTGTACTCTACTCTCTGCTCAACTCATTTCATTACGTAGCCACAGATGAGACGCTACGTCAGTTCACAGCAGGACACGGGCTGTAAGTCACTCCAACAGCCAGCAATCTGGCACCACACAGGGTTCATATGCAGCCTTGTAACAGGGTTAGGGTGATGTGCTGTTGACAGCTGTGGTCTGGGACTGACTGATGGGTGGGTGTAAAAATAAAACCACAGAAAATTGTACCACTTTATAAGGAGTGAGAATTATGGAGGAAACAACTTTATGTAGCGTTATTAATGACATTGTTTTAAATGTCGATCACTGGGGCCAAAACCGCAACATCATGACGTCTTGAAGTGTTTTCAATTTTGTCCACAGACCAAAAATATTCCGTTTACACTCAGAGAGAAGTGAAAAAAAACCTGAATCCACATATAAAACTACATAAATCAGAACTTTACTACAACTACCTGCAAATAGATTTTCTTATTTACTGGTTCCTCCTCACAGTTTATCCAAAAATCAGTAAACAGTCGAAGCAGTAGAAACAGATACTGTGTGTATTGACTGTACTGTAATACTGTGTGCACAGTATAGACAGTTGTAAAGGACAGTGAAGACTGTGATCACATCTGCAGAACCTCCATGAATCGTTGGTCTTCACAGGTTCATCTGGATTTTAACTCCAGGTTCTTGTCACCATTCCAGTCTTTTTTTAACACTGGAAAAAATTAGAAAAACATTTCAGGAATCACGAGTCAGGAAAAATGTGACAAACAACACAGTAAAAAGAACCTCTATTTTTCCGATCCAACTGTTAACTGTCTCTGCTACAAAGCATGTGTGGCTAACCTTTAGCTTTACGTGGTCTAACTTTTGTGGTAATCTTCTGGCTGACCTTTAGCTTTTTCTCTGGATGTTGTATACTTTTGGTGTTGTCTTTTACCGTTGCTCTAGTAGTTATAGCTAACCTTTGTAACTAACCTTTTCAGTTCAACATTTGTCTACTTCCTGTTACATCCATCATCAAGGTAACCTTCTCTTACATGGACATAAGACGGTTGTCAATAAAAAATAATTACAAACTGAAACTAACCACTAACTCACACATTTTAACTGCATGTATCCATCATCTTCCTGAAGGAGCAGCAGTAGAAGCCCCTCTCTCGCCTCTGTTCCTCAGTTCTCTTCTCAGACCAGACTACGCTCTAAAGTCAGATGAATCATCTATCTCTTGTGCTCTTGCACTTCCTGTTTCTTCTTTTCATTTTTAATTCAGAAAAAAATTATTCTATTTTGCTTCAAGGCTTCTGCTTTGGTTTGACTCCTCGAGGGTCGGAAGTGTAATAGTTAGTGACACAAAAGTCTGAGGATTTTTCTGTCAAAGTTTAGTGTCTCAGCTGCAGCATCACTGTACACAGGTTTACCATTGTTTCAATCCTGACATCAATGATGTTTTCTTCTTACCTGTGCAGCAGCAGCAGCAGGGGTGTTAAACAGTTCATGTGACTTAGTCTGACAGCAGTCATCACTCTGCTCTGAGTCTAAGCTGTTTATCTTCACACACTTTTTTAGTGACTTACTTGTTATTGTGACACAGCACACCGCTGCACCATGAAATGTGACCTCTGCTTTTAACCCATCACCAAAGTGAACAGTGGGCAGCTTAGGTGCCCGGGGTGCAGTGAGTGTGGATTGTGCCATGCTCAGTGCACCTCAGGGCTAGCCTAAAAGCATGTGGATTCGAACCTCAAACCTTACAGAGCCGAGGCAGCTTCCTTATCCACCAAGCCATCACTGTGTGTTACATCAACTACAGTGTATAAAATATGCACGGTGAGTGCATGCCTCTTGACTATTGACTGATTCACCAACTTCAGTTCATAAGCATGTTCTGCTTGAGGCTTAGCAGAAATACTGTACATGTATTTGCATTTCTAGAAGCTTCTTAGCTGTTTTGCTGGCTCTGCTTTTCCCTTCAGTGAAAACAGCACAAACACACTGCATTCGGTGACGGATTATTTATTCTCCAAAAGATTAGTTTATTGTGTGATTTTTTTTTTTTTTTATCTAAAGCTCTTTAGATAATTTGAAAAACTTTAAATTGACGTCTTTCATTAAGGCATGAAACCAGCAGACTAACCAGATATTGTCTCGCTGCCCCCTGCTGTTGTTTCGCTTCCGCCGTTATTGTCTGCCTTTTCATTCTTCCAATTCTTTGGGATTTGAATATGAAATCTACTATTGTTTCACTGCCAGTGCTGATTTCCCCTTACGTTTTCTGCTGATGCCCCGCTGCAGGGATTTAAAAGTATGAAACACACTGGAGCAAAACGTTTTTCAACTCTTTATTCATATTCACAAAATACCATCACAACAGGAACATGTGTAAGAAGAGCATTACATTAAAAAAAATATATATATATATATTTCTTAATCACAGCATTCTACCAAAAACATGTAAACGTGAATGTAAATGCTAAATGACAGCTACGTGGCAGTAGCTCATTAGCATTGGCCCTGTGATCCTTTGAAAAATGATTAGAGTCTATCCTGAGGCAACTTCTACAAACTGCCTTTTGAATGTCAGTCCAGGAAGATGATGGTTGAAATCTTTATCTTCCTGACATTTGAAAGAAGAACTTTTAAAAACAAACCCCAAATAAGAAGAGTGTTGACTTGTAGCCACTTCATCTCTCCCTGTGTTCCTGTTAGCTTTTCTTTGTGCTTCAAAATCTGGCCTCTCACATTAATCCTAGATAGAATATCCAGTTAAACTCTGGAGAAATACATTTTTCAAGACTTAAAGTACACAAATAATTAAATGAAAATTGTTAAAACAAATCACTTGTGTTCACACTGGAAACAAATCCTTGTACTGTGGTGCAGTAAAAGGACAGGTCCTACAAAATGCTGTCCTGCACCTCTAGCTTGGTCGAAGAGACTAATAATGCATCTGTGCCTGCACAAGAATAGCACAGTGCTCAAATACTGCTAACAAATATTCTAAAGCAGAAAAAGGACAGAACGCAGGAGTCTCTCATTTCCGCTGTTGTTCTGCTCAAGAAACTATGAATGCCTCTGTGCCTGCACATACTGCCATTGTCTAACCACGGGCTAGTAACTTTCGTTTCCTGGTGTTAAGGAGGACAGTCACTCCTTCCTGTTGGATAAATTCATTTTTACACCTTACTAAAACCGTGACTTGATAAATTTTAAAGCAAATATTCATTTACCTCGAATTTACACTAAAGTCACGTTTTCATGATTGATGTGTAAGGTGAAAGCTCCTCTGAGTCTGGCCTCCTGTTGGAGTCTACAAAGGTTTGTCACTTTGTGACTAGATGATGGACAGAATTGGGACACAGAAGGAGAACTCTTGAAAATAGTTCACTGAATAATTTCCCTCTGAAATAACCTGATTCCTGCTCATGGTCTGTACTTACATAACCACAGGTCAAAGCATCACGTGACTGTTGGCCTCCTCTAGTCAGGTGTCTGCCATTTGCTAAAATGGTTGAAAAATGGTTCTCTGCTCCTCTGCTCTGCTCAAACAGTGGTCCTCATCCTCATGGCTGGACCAATCAGAATCTTAAATTAGAATTATTAATATTCAGCAGATTTGGAGAAGATGATTTTTCTCTGCTTTTACATTGAGGTTTTGCTCAATGTAAAGCAAAACAGTTACTTACTAACAGTAAAGTTTTCCTGTTAGAAAGTCAGCCAAATGACATAATTGGAAAAGTGTAATATTTGGGATTCAGAGTTCCGATGAAATTTGACTGCTTGCTCTGTTAAACACAGTGCTATGACAGTCGCCTGACCAGAGGTGAGGAAAACCAGAGTTACCATTGGTTGTCAAATTGTTGAAAACAAAACCATCCACCTCCACTGAGTGACTCCCTCCGTCTCCTTCTTTCATTCCTTTTCCAGGACGTGTCTCCTTCTTCTCCTCTGGCTCGGAGAATCTCCACCGCGTGGAGCAGGTGATGTGGGGGACGCGCTATGCCATTACCGTGTCCTTCACCTGTGACCCCGAACACGCCATTTCTGATCCCGCTCTGCCCTGATGCATCATGGGTAGTGCCACTGCTCTCTGGTGTGGACAAAATCCTGCGAGAGAAAAAAGGTCCAGTATAGAGAGAATGACAGAAAAAAATACTTTTCTTTTGTCCACTTTCAAACATTTTTTTTCTTTTGAGACACTTCCTGCTCTGTATTCTTTTATTTTTTCTAAAATGTGATTGATTGTCACCTGTCTATCTTGGTCCACTTTCTAACAGCATTTGTTACCTCTCTGTGGCTCCATCCTCATAATCACTAGGATTAGATGTGTTTGGGCTCCAGGCAGGTTTTCACAATCTGCTCTCATTCACCATCTCAGGACGGCTTGAGCAGAAATTGCTTTTTGGACTGAGAACAGTCTTAAAGAGGCTGAAGTGGGATCGTGTTTCTCTCTGTGTCTCCATGTGTTTCTCATTCTGACAAGAACTGTCAGGTATGTGGAGACGAGATAAAGTTCTGGTAATTCCACCGATGAATCCACCTCTCACCCCCCTGGCTCGCCCTCGACCCCACCCGTGGTGGGAGGAGGTGTTTTCTTCTGAGAAGAACCCTCAGCTCTAAGAATGATTGTCCATTCTGGGATGTCCACCAGTTATTTCAGTGAGGCGAGAGCGGTTTGAAATAAAATGCTGAGAAAATCTGAAACCCCCGTGTGTGGCTCCCAGACTTGTTAAAGTTTCTAAAAGTTGTAGTGGTCAAGACGCCCCTGAAAAGACATTTGATCTGTGAGTTTCTGCTGAAGAGATTTGAATTATTGATATTATGGTTTTGAATCCTCGGTTTCTCATCACGCGGGTTGAAACACTGACTGGTTTTACCACTGACACAGATGTCTGGAGGCCCTGCCTTATCTGTGAATCATTTGCTGAGAGATGTTTTATTGTGTTTGTTTTCCATCTCCATTTTTCTTTTCAGCATCAGCAGCTGTCTCTCATCATAAAGAATCATTCCTCTGACAACATTTGAATTCACATTATATGTAAAAAAAAACAAAAACAAAAAAAAACATCCGCCCTCAGGATTAAAACCAATAAACTGGATTCAAACCCCTTAGTGTTGATTGACACCAGATGCTTCATTTAGATCATTGTCTTAAAGTTGGTTCTTTGAGAAAATGAATTGTTCCTCAGTAGTGATTTGATTAAAATCAGGTTGAAACATTAAATTTGGACTTGATTGATTGATTAATCCTTGATCAGCGATGTCTCAGATCTTAACAGTCTACAGGTTTTACATGTAACCAGTTAAAGTGATGTACTGCTGTATGCTCTGGCTCTGTGAGTCAGGCGGCCGGAGAACTGCATTATTGATCAGAACTTGTGTTTACTCCAACAGAACCAAGCACATTCCCTCGTCTTTGGCTGCGAATACTGATAAAATTATTGGGTTTCAATCTCCAAAACCTCTTCTCCAAAAACTGTTCTGCTCCTGTCTAATGGTTTTGTGGATGAGCATTTGTCTGTTTTTTGTTTTTTTCATTTCTTGTTAATGTGTTAATGTGTGATGTTTCTTCCTGAAGACGATGTTTTCATTTGTACAACACCCCAGGAAGAAGCCCCAAAGTCATTTCTTTAAAGTGGTTTATTTTAGTTCAGGAATCACAACATGGCGTTCACTTACTAAAGCTAATATTTTCTTTCCGTCCTGATAAGTCCAGAGCTCCACATGTGATTAGGAGGCATCTCAGCTTTTTGCGTTTGCAGTGATCACTGTGTGCATTGGCTCAGAGATTGTTTGGGTGAGTTTTAATGAAAATGAAAGACGCCTGATAAAGGAATAAAAATGTCTGCAGCTGTTATGGCAGTCATCATGTGTGACGTCATTTACTTCACTGACATGGAGTAGAGATGTCAAACACTGGGGGGTTTCTATCATCTGCCTTAAGACTGAAGAAAAAAGATATTAAATGGTTCCAAGCTGGTATCCTGGATCATCAGAGGTGAAGTGACCGAAGACTCAGGAAATGAAGGATTATGGGTAAATCACTTTGTTTCCTCGTATTCTTTGTTGTTCTTAAACAGTTTTTCACACTCTAAACCTTTTTTTCCCCCCAGATTCATTCTTCACTGTGTCTGCCTGTGAACTGCAGAGGAATCGCCGTGACCCTCACTCTGTCCTTGGCAATAAATCAACAAATCCCCTACTGAGGCTTTGTTTGCATGTACTGTCCTTGGCGTTGTTGTTATAGATTACTCAGGTAAGTGATTCAATTTGAGCTAATGGTTGCTTAGGCTACAATTAGAAGTTATTTGAGCGATTTTGAACATGCAGTAAACTACAATGTACAAAATACTAATTTGAACCCCTGCTGAATCTGTGTGACACAAACAAATGCACAGCCTGTAATGTTCTAAGAAAGGTTAAATAATGAGGGAGTCCGACTATTAACCAAAAATCCAGAAAAAAACACATTAAAAAATGAATTATCTATTGATTTTCCCCTTCAAGGCAACTAAAGCAAAGCTGAAGAAAAAGCACATTAAGACCTGTAGAGGGAGCTCAAGCTTTGACTTGCCAAGAAGCCTTGAGGATTTAGTTAAATGGTCCTTAAACCTCACAACTTGAACTTGTGTAGATAGGACCGATGTTAAGCAACCTCACATCAACACTTTTACATCCATTGCTCCAAACCTCCACTGGGCTCTATATGAAATATGGTCATATCTACTACGTGGCTTTTCTCATTAAATAAAGGATGTTGTTTTATCCAGACAAATAATGATTAATCGTGATTAATTACAAAATCAGTTAATCACGAATAATTGTTATTATTCTACATCTGCCCAGTGATTAATAACAGAGTTGACACCCATAGTACAAATGTTAAAAAACAAACAAAAACCTCATCATTACCCTTGAGTTTAGGGCAATGCTTGAGTGATGTCATAGTGTATGGTGCCCCACAGACTGATTACCACCATTATTATAATAAGTGAGCCAGATGGCTCCATCACATCCACAGTGTCCACATGACACTCAGCTGACTTCACCTAATTCCTATTTAATGAAACTGTCCAGAGTGTTGTCCAAAGTGATGCAGCTGTAAACCACTGGACCACAGCCATGGAGGAAATCCAACAGCTCAGAGTAAAATGCAATGTCATGTGTGATCTTAAAACCTTATGGAAAAGTTACAATAGAGAATTTGTCACTATCTCTACGAAATGTTCATTCCTCATTCTCGGCTCAAAAGCACCTGCGGTGGAGATCGAATGTTTGATCGGGGCTTTAATCAAAAGTTTGAAATCTAATCTCAAAGCACAAAAGTGCTGTTTTCATCAGTGAGGATAAAACCGAACAGACGGCCCATGGTTGGGATTTTTACAGGTCTTTGAAAAGATAAGAGGTGTGTTCTGTCACACACTGTAGCTGTGAATTCAATCTCATACATTTCAAAGTTTATTTAAGAAATAAAAAAAGTTATTTTTCTGTCACTGTTCTTCAGATTTCCACAGTTACAGAAAGTGAAACTCTGAGGTGTTTGATTCAAGAAAAAAAAAAAGCCACAAAACGTTTTTATCTTTTTATCTTCAGTATTTCTTTGACAAGCCTAATTTGACTGTGACTGTGTGTATGTTCGTGCTGCTTTTTTGTAGAAGACTGACAGACTTTATCGATCCCAGACTGGGAAATTACATTATTTATTGTCACACCTACACTTCTTTCTTCTTTTTTTACCTAGTTTAAATGTCTTGCCACACTTCTCTAATTTCCATCAGGATTTTGTTTATAACACTAACAACCAACCTGGGGATCAATAACATAATACTGATTATGATTCTGATTCAGAAAAGACAAAGCAACAAACACAGACAAGGTGTTAAATGGCATGCTTTTTTTTTTTTTTTTCTATACAAACTGAAAAAATGAGGCAGGTTGGTGGCTGGTGTACATGTGGGCGGAGCCTGACAGGTGAACAGACAGAGGGAAATGGGGATGGATGAGTGAAAGGAAGATGTCAGATGTGAGGAGGGTGAATACGGGGGTGGAGGGCATGGGCTGGTGACGGAAAGCTGAGATGAACAGAAGGAGATCATGACTGGAATCTTTCAAATTCTCTCAGGGTTGCCTCAGAACCACAGATGGACTCGGGACGTGGGTGTAAACAGAAGTGTGAGGAGTAAAATGTTTGTGGTGTTGATGGAGCAGTGGAAGGTCTGAACTTAACATGCAGATCAACACCTGGAACTGGATCAACATACGTGCACCCACGGTCCTATTTTTCTGGTCTCAGTTATGTCAACGTGTGTGTGTGTGTGTGTCTGTCTGTGTGTGCTCGTGCATTTTTCTGTCCATCTTTGCAGTTATCTGTGAAAATCTCTTTTTTCACATTCTAAATATTTTAATACAATATTCCAGGTGTTGTGCATTATTCAGATGTGATCTGTGCGACACTTAGGTCAAAGTAATAAAACCTGCCAACGAAACATTTACATTTTGCGCTGTATATTCTGGTAATTATGATCTTATCTTAGGTATTTTTTAAATATTTGGCACTAATATCCAGTCACAAACACCTGTTTGCCTTCACTCCACACTGCACTGCTGTGTTTGGAGGAGGAGTGTGTTTGCACTGGAACTGAGCAGAATCTTGGCAAATACACTGTTTATTAACACTGGCCTCTGATGCCAGGACTTTTTTTTTCCGTTTTATCATAAATCTCGGGTTCCTCTATGGAAATTCTTATAGAGTTTATTTGGGGACTACCAACTTTTTTTTTTTCTGGCAGAAAATGGTGATTATGATGTTAAAACAGAGTGTGCAGTGTTATAGGAGCAGGAAATGACATCATCAGTCTTTTTATTGTGCAGATGAACTGAACTGAACTCTGTTGTGGGAATATCTGCAGAATAGTGTTGTTGTACTTCAAATGTTGAAGAGTCATTGAACATCGATTTCAAAGAAATTTTCACTTTTTTTTCAAATTCCAAATAGTATTGTTGAATATTTGCAAAAAAATGTCTTCCTGGATTGTTTTTAATCTGCCTCAAAATTAAACATAGACAAAGCAAAATTAAGAAAAATAAATAAATAGAAGTGAAAGGCTAAAAGTTAGCAAATAAATGACCAAAAGCTAAGTAGGAATGTTCCAAACAACCAAATACTTGCAAAGTGTCGTAGGAAATAAAATGTTAGCCAACTGGAACTTGCTGCTCGCTGCTTTATTCACAAGCAGACTTGCACAGTCTTCATAGAATATTTCATTCAACTTTTAAAACAGTTCCTGCTGCTAAATGTTTTGTGTGGTAGAAACACAATGTTTTAAATGTTTGAGGACTAAATGCAGAATAAGGTTAAACTGCTCGGCTGTTTTACATTTACATGGAACTACTCACAGGCAACCTGGGAATCTCAGAGCCTCCTGGGTAGCACATTACACAATGAGACCCCCCCCCCCCCACATCCCACCTAGTTAATCTTCTCAGCCCACACTGCTGTTTTGAAAACCTACGACTTCTGGATAGAAAGAGCTCCCATCGTGTGGCCTGAGGAGCTTTCATTCATAGTCTGTACATATCAATGTCCTGTCTCTCCCATATATTCACTGCTTTCACTGTAGTTAATATATGTCAATTTTAGTCAAATTGTATTTAAGGAACAACTGTACAGCCAATGCCCAGGGCTACTGCTTGAAGTGTTACTTCTGCAAGTCTCTGCCACTGTTTTTTAAATAGTATAAGTAAAAGAATATCGAACAGACATATACAATGACTGTGTAATATACTGTATATGTGGCATACTGAACAATGAAAATGTATACTTAAACCAGGCCAAAATAAAAGTTTGTGTACAACAGTTCAGCTCACAGTAGAAAAACAACAGATAAAAATTAGATAACAAACATTTCTAAAATTAGCTACAGTGAAAGTCAGCCTAGGTTAGTAAAACTGCAGTACTCCGTTAGCCACAAAATAGATACCTTAAAGTAGCTAATTAATAATGAAGTATATGTGAAAAACAGGTTAGTGTCATAGTATTAACAAAAAAACTGATGAAAATGAACTGTTTGTTCAAACCAGCTAAGATGCTAATGTTGCCACAACATTTGAATGTTAGACAGAAATAGAGAGCCAGCACTGAGAGCAGAATTAGTTGCAGTTGAGCTAAAGAATAGTAAAATAGTTTGAAGTTAGTTAATCAGCTATTTCCCAAGCAGCTAAGTTCAGGAAGCAGTCCTATAATAACAAATGCTTTGCTCCTCAGTAATTATCAAAACAATATGAATTATTATGTTGACTTTTAGAAACAACATGAACAAAAGTCAACTTTTAGTATAATGGGATTATGAAATCACTTTTATATTCATGTGTCCAATTAAATTTTAATTACATTTTTTTTTCTCATGACATGTCACACAGGTGGGTCAATTTGCCTAATGTGATGCCTGACCCCTGAAATATCTTTGCACACCACTGCTGGACACCTACCTGTAGCAATCTGAGAGAATCTGTCTCACTCCCCCGGCTCACTTCAGGGTCCCCATGACCAGCGTCTCAGAGGTGAACTCAAACTGGTTGCTGGAGGATCCAGACTTTCCCCAGGAGTAGAGGCTGGGCGGCCGCTGCTTGAAGGAGGACGTGTACCTGTAGAAGCTCCTGTGGCGGTTCTTCAGGTACTCCCTGTAGTTCTTGGTGAGCAGAGTGTAGAGGAAAGGGTTGATGCAGCTGTTGCTGTAGGTGAGACTGGCCACCAGGTAGTTGATGCAGGTGTGGGTCTGCGAGGCCAGGCCCAGGGGTTTGGTGTGGTACAGGCGCAGCAGCTGCCAGATCCAGAAGGGCAGAAAACAGGCCCAGAACACCAGGACAATGGTGAAGATCATGATCAGAACCTTCTGTTTAGGTGAGCGCTTGCTGCTGCCTCTGCTGATGACTGTGTTGCGCTGAGACTCCAGGTAGGTCCGGGCCAGGCGCACATACAGGTACCCGATGATGAGACCCGGGGCCATGATGCTGGTGCAGAACAGGACCGTCACATAAACTTTATAAGCCAGCGGGGCCCAGGTGGCTGCGCACATCCTCTTTACACCTCCATCCGCCGTGTTCGTGGTGGTCTGGGTGACCATGATCATCATGGGCACAGTGAGGAGCAGGGACAGCAGCCACACCCCCCACGCGAGAGCTTTGCGGTAACTCTTGGAGCGCCTCACCGTGTCCAGAGGCTTGATGACGGCCAGGTAGCGCTCCGTGCACATGACGGTGAGAGTGAAGATGCTGGCGTGCATGGTGAGAAGGTCCAGGCTCAGCAGGATGCGGCAGCCGACGTCCCCGAAGTACCAGTCCTTCAGGAAGTAGGTGGACACCAGGAAGGGGATGGTGGAGAGGTAGAGGAGGTCCGCCAGCGCCAGGTTGATGATGGAGATGTACATGGAGGTGGCGAAGCGGATGGAGTGGCACATTACCACCAGCGTGTACACGTTCCCGGACACTCCGATGATGTAGACGATGGAGAGAAGCGTCCCGAACGTGGACGTGATGGCGAGTTCGAGGTCCACTGTCCCGGCGCCACCGACCCGCGGCGGATGCGGCGTCAGAGACGGCGGTGCTGCAGCCGTGGTTAGGCTGAAGTTTCTGTGATTCATCGCCTCCTCTCCTTCTGTCGATTCCCTTTTGTTCGGCTTCTTCCTCCCGGACTCCGCTGGAGAAGTTTGGAGAAGATGCGCACTGACGGCGCACAGGTTGTCTTTTCCTTTACGCACCTCTGTGCTCGCTGCTCTGCGCTCCTGACGTCAGCGCACAAACACACAGCAGACAGTTAATAAAAGAAAACACATTTTTTAAAAAAAGAACCTGATTCGGGAATTGACGTTTATTTCGGATATTGGAATAAATATGTTAAGACATAACATTTTTTTAATCCGCCACGTTAGTGTTTTTTAATATATAAATGACATAGATCTGTCTCAAGTCTGGTTTGGGGCCCATTCATGGCACGTTGACAGGGTTAGTTTGGCCATTGCGTCTTTTTTCAAACAGTTTCCCCAAGGTTCGTTATAAATGAACAATATTCGGTTGTTTATCAGGACATCTTTTATAAAAAGAGGATATTTTTGGATAATGTGAATTGCATCTTTTTTTTTCTGTTTGCCGTACTCTCTGTATTCTTAGAGAACTAAAGTATTTCATATACTGATATATATTTCCTAAACTCCACACCAAGATGAATAAAAACTGTTGAGCCTCCCACTCAGATCACCTTAGCACCAAGTGCTACATGCATTTATAAAGCACTGTTAGAACTTCCTAATGAATCCCCTCTGTGTCATGTTCTCTGCTAACGAGAGTCACAAGGAAACGAGGACTCAGCATTAACACTTCATCTTCCTCTCCCTCTGACCACACCGTGCCTCATCCACCAGCACAGAACCAATTAATGCACTCTCTCAGTGGCTAAATCGAGGCAGGCTACATCCATGAATATTCCACTGTGGTTAAAGAATGACTTTGTCTGCAGTTTTTGAGACGACTAGTGTGATCTGGTGTAAAGATGATGAAATGGCACTTCAAACCACACTCCTTCTGTTCCGAGTTGCTGGTTCTCCTGGCAGGACGTCTACATCCACAGGATGTTCCCTCACAGTACCAGGTTAGAAAAACTGAGTGCAGAAAAACTCATTTATCCTTTTGCTCATGTGACCACATGCAGGCTTCTTGGCGTTCACTCTGCTAATCCAGGAGATTCATTTATCTTCTAAACCATAACACAACATTTTGACACAAACTGTTGTTATTTTGGCTTAAAGGTGTATTTCCCTGTGGTGACCATGGTTAACTTCCATGCAGTGAACGTGTGGTCATCACAGATACTGGCTGTAATTCCTGTTAAGATGCTGAATCGTGACCTTGAATTCTGGGAGATTTTTTTCTATGTTTCATTGTTAATTTAGATTTTCTTCCATGTAATTATTTGTAGGTTTTGGTTAATCGTGGTTTTGGTTAATCGTTCACTCTGAATTGAAATTAAATTAGGTGTGAATGTGAATGTGAGTGTGAATGGTTGTTTGTCTTATACATGACTGGCCAACTTGCCCTGCCCCCTTTGAATGACCACTGCAATTACCCCATCACCCCTCCCACAGTTGTTCAAAGGAGTTCATTTTGAAAGTGGGTCACATTCTTGTTGCCTGACACCAGAAGTGGCCCATATCTCCTGTTATCTGGTACACTAGCCCACATTTCCCCTGTTCTCTCTTTCTTTAAGTCCACACCAGCATGTTCAGTTCAGCCCAGTCTTAACCAGTGCTTCTGCTCTCTGTGGATGTTTGCATTTATTTAATCTGAACCAAATCTTGTTGTTATTTCAAACTGCATTTTCTTGTCTTTTTCTTTTAGCCAGAGATTTGTACACCGACAAAATCAAACAAAACGGATCAATTCTGCTTTGAATTGTGTATATTATTACAACCAAAGGTGCAGGAATGAACATTCTGGACTGTCTTCTGTATTCCACTGCTGTATTCTGACCTTGTTTTCTGTCTTTTTTTTTTTTTTTACAAATAGATGCAGCCATACGGTCTTAGCAGCGGCTGAACAGTTACTGTAGCCTGACAGCATGTAGGTGCCATCAGAGTCATCTGTCCTCAGGGTGAGGGCTCTTCCACTGTACCACTGGTCTTTAGGACCATAACAAAAGTCTTGTGGCTCCCTGTGCAGAGACTGGCTGTGAGCATCAGTCACTGTTTTAAGTTTGAACTCATCGCAGCAGCACTAGCGACAGAAATAGAACAATCATTAGCCGGAGTGAAAGTGCAGGGACGGAGGGTAAAATTGAGGTTACAGTTTAGTGATTGTTTCATTACATTGGCTGGACGAACAGATCTGCTTTACATAAAAACATTTAATAATTGACTTTATACAATCACTGAGAGAAAAGTTGGCTGTTTGTCCTGTAGAAATATTTAATGTGTTCCTTTAAAACATAGGGAAAATAACCTTTTACCAAACATTGTAATTGTTGGCTGTAGCCTAGTCATTGGAATGGATTTCTCAGCCTCTGTCTGTAAAGCAGTTTATCACTCTGCTGTTAGATACTTGATGAGGTTCTGCAAGAACACGGTTGTGTTAAGTTCATACAAAAACTTTGAGGTAAAACTACCTCCTACTGTATTTACCCCCCATCTCTAATCTTTGAATCACATCATGATCAGACTCTTTACAAGCAGAGTAAAAATGACACCACAAAAAATAGTGACATTTGGTTTGAGTTTGATTTTTAAACTTTACTCTTACATACAGTCTGTAGTTGATTTAAGGCGTCCATTATGACGTGTTTGATTATCAATGACATTCACGTTGATTTGGTTCATTTATAAACATCATCATTTTGCTGGAAACTAATGTGGTTACATTACCTTCATCTGCATCACCTGGTGTTTATATACCTACGTCATCAATCAGCCAGGAGTCATGCAAACATTACTATTTGTGTAACCACTGTATGTTACCTCCTGCTGGTTGTGCCTGGTTACTGCTGCTCCCATAATTTTATTTTTAATGTTCTGCTAAAGTGGATTTTTCCACACTGGGATGACCTTGTTGTATTATAGAAATGGTGACTTTTGTTTTGGATTCCTGTCACATCCTCTCTCTCATATCCACACGTCTTAGACAAATAGGTGAATCAGATGCCACTAGACACAAAGCACCTGACTATATGTGGCTGCAAATTTGCGGCGTACTTCTTATACATGTTTATGGTTCATGGTATATTTCTTTCATAATCCTCTCTGATGAGCTACGTAAATCTTTTCTCCGTGTCCTTCAGCCGCCGCTGCTGACAGGAGAGGTGAGAGCTGCAGATAAGCTGGGGCCAGTGTGACAATCGCAGCACACAATGAGTTTCAAGGAGAATAGCAGTTATGAATTTGAAAAGACCTGTTGAAGAAAAAAAAAGCAACTTCTAGTTCATCGTGCAAATACAGATTTATTTTTTCTTCAGAGTTTTTCTTTTTCACGAAGGTGAGAAAAGCAGTTTTGCAGGGACTCGGCTTCTTGCTCTGAGCTAATTAAAGAAGGTGTGTGTGGATAAAAAGGTGAAGTGTGATGACTTTATGAGTCACTGCCAGGAGAAATTGTTTTGTGGTACGAAAAAAAATCCTGCAGATTCAGTAACTTCCTGTTACATTATAAATATAGAGAGAATAATACACACGTATAAATACACACACACATATATATCTATATGTATACAGTATTTCTTCTCCTGTCGCAGTAGTTGAATTCCAAGACCCACCGCGAAAAGGGAAAAATCTGCAAAGCAGAGGTGAGATTGTTATTATATTATATTTGGACTTGTCCATTCAGCATCCTTATCCTTATATTCTGCATATTATCATGTGTGATTTAAGAGAGATGAACTTGGCCTTGGATGATGGGAAACATAGTGATCAGAGTCAGAAGAGAAAAGTGACATTAGAACACACTGGATGAATTGCTTAATTTGTTGGGGAGATCAAATGTGAGAAGTCACCTCTGAATGAGAAATGTGAGTGAACTTGGCGTTGTACCAAGTGTTACAGAGCAGAAGTGGAAGAACTCTTATGCAAGAAGAGGCCAATGAAGGATAGTTGTATAAATGTGCAAGAATAGCAATACACTGCAAAATAAAACACACAGGATACAGGTTCACTGGAGCTAATTGGTTTGAAGTTGAGACACGTGTGGTGAGATGTGTTAGCGTTCGGCTAACAACGTACGAAGTGCTTCGTTTATTTAATGTACAGTATCATCGTGTTGTTCCTTAAAACCACAGGTCATGGTCTAAGAACTGTGCATATGGTTCTCTGGGTGAACTCACAGTGTAAAACCAAGCAGTGCTGACTGACACAGTTGATTATGAATCAAATATTCCGACCATGAAAAGCTTTGTTCTCTGTCTCTTATTTCCTGTTCTTTCTTCTCTCTCTCTTACCGTCCTCACTTTACTTTCTAATTGCTTTATTTCCTGGGGTTTTCGAAGCAGCTCCTTTCACCATGAGAACATTTGCACTCGTTCACCACCTTGTTTAACTCTGTACATTTCCGTAACCTTTTGTCTACCTCAGTGTCTGTCGATTGCTGTGAAACACGATTTAAAATGATTGTCCTTTGGTTTTGTACTGTGGAGCAAAGTCCAACTGGTTAAACCTGGTTCCAGAAACAAGTGCAGATAAAAGACTGTGTTAATTTCATTTACATTCATGTTAATGTCATTCACATTAACTGAGAGACATTACACGACTTTACCAACTCTGGTTGAGAACCTTCTAGTCTTTTTTCACAGTCGATTCTGTGTGTCTTCTGAACCCGTGTCAATGTGTTTGACACAGATTTCCCACCATGTCTAGAAGGTCATGTCAATTGAGGACCTTGAAAATTCTAATTTCACACTAATTTCACATCAGGGTCCAGTGTGTTACATTCAGTGACAGCACAGAGTATCAGAAAATATTGGCATGTTCAAATGTCAAATCCATCGATCCATTAACTATACCGTATGTCAGGTAAACTCCTGAACTCTTTTCACATGGTCATACCTGACAGGGTGACCGTTACTTCTCACTGGGTCTCACAGCCAGGTGTTTGTTTACCAGATACAATCTTGTATTGTTAGACTGTCTGTGAGGTGTTCCCAGAGTGCACCTGAGAGACAAATAACTGCCTGTCCCCGCATCCCCTGCATCCTCCCTCACCCTCAGACTAAAGAAGACCA